ACAATCATCCATTTTCTCACTGGTTTCACAATTTAATTGAGGTCTAAGAAATATTTCTTAATTGTATGCCTCTAAGACTTATTTAATTTCTGTAATTATACATTCTACATGAGCTAGAAACAATAGAGAAAAAGCAGCAGTATATCTCCATCTTGTATTAGTTTCCTTGAACAGTAAAAGTGAACAGTTAAAGCACAAATGTATGGGACCAGCCTAAAACTCTTAACCAGAAAAGATCCTTATTTTCACAGAGAACAGATGGTATAGAAACTGCCAAAGCCGGCCCTCTACAAAAACACCAAACCCAGGTAACTATACAAAAATGTAGTGTTATAACAAAGAATGCAGTAACACCACTTTATTTGGATAAAAGTTGCCTAGTGTTGCCACTCTAATATTGTGTACTTGAATAACAAATATTGACGCAAGTCTTCTACAACTGTTCAGCACAATGGACAAACTGAGAACTGTATCACCTTTAACATGGCTTCGAATTTCACTGCTTTAGGCACAGGGTAAGAAAAAATTCTTCATTTTATAACCTTTTAAAATTTCCATTTAAAGAAACAAAATGATATCAATTAAAATAGCACCACTTAGACTAATAATCACTGTATGGTGGTTTATTCACAAATATTTAGAGATATTTACGCATATAAATTATAGATGCTTGTACACCTAGAGTCTAGTTTTCATTTGCAGAGCTCCTACACCCTACAATAAGATCCATGGGTACTGGAATTTGTAAATTACGTGACACAGTTGGTGTGGTTGTAAAATAAAGTCCATATTCACATCTCACTAAAGAGATAGAAATACTTTCATTCAAACATTATTAAGATTATAATTAACATTCCTATGGTTTGAGAGAAACTTAGAACTTTAAAAGTGCATCTGCTAAAAAAATATATAAGTTGTAATTGTTTAAAACAGGGGTAAGCAACTTCTACTCATGGGTGGGAATGAGCTACACAGGGTCAGAAGCAGGATTGTGGGCAGGTGCTCGAACTCTGCCGCCACCACCACCATTTGTCTCCCTAGCAGCACAAGGAAAGCACTGTCAGCTGGTGTTTGTCCCTGTGGTAGGAGTGATAAAGTGCTTGCAGAAGAAGCTCCTCCACCACTGAGTGCAGCCGAACTCCTGCATCCATGAGTTGGATCCAAAGGTTCCATGGGCTGCAAGCTGTAGGTTGCTGACCCCTGGTTTAAAATACTGTTACATGTTATTACATCTTCTAAATTAAATAAACTTGGTAGTTTATTTTGTTTGTCAAAACACACAAAGGCACTGATGTCTATTTAGAGCTAGAGGCCTCAAAGAGTTGCTTTTATAATAATATCCCCCCTTATCTATAAGATAATGCTCTCTGAACTCCTCTATACCTGACCATAAGTGCCTCCCCACCTCTGTGATGGAATAGAGATTTTTGCCTCTCTCTTCTCTTAGGTTTCTTTTATGTGTTTTCTAACACAGTGTTTCTACTGCTATAGGTATCTCTAAACTGACTAAGGCCGTGAGCAGACGAAACGGGGGGCCTAAGTTGAAGTGGTGGGTTTTTAAAAACATGGCTTCAATTTAGAGCCCTTTAAACCCCTATGTCATGCACACACCCACATACCTGCCTCTCCGGTGGTGGGGAGGGAAGGGCGAGCTGCCAGTGGGCAGAGTGGTCCCTGGGCTGCAAGGCGGGCTGGTGCTTCCCTCCATGGCAGCAGCGGCCCCCCCAACCAGGCAGCACCCACCCCCAGGCACCCAGCTCAGGCAGTCCCAGGGGGCACCAGGACCTCATGCAGCTCAGGCAGGCAGGCTCCAGGGGAAAAAAAAAAAAAAAATCACTGCTTTTTTTGTTCTTGAGCCGAACCTGCTTTCCTGGGCTGCTGCCAGGCTGCCTCCACAGGCTTCCTGCAGTGCCCCTGAGCTGCACAGAGCCTGGAGGAGGAGTTTTAGTGTGCTGAGCTCCAAGTCGTTTAAGGTGCATTACGCCACCAAATTTGCTACAGTGGCTGGAATTACTGCACAATACGCAGCTGACGTGCAAACACCAACACCATTAAAGCGGTTCAAAGGCATTTAACCCACTTTAAAGTATCATGCACACATGTCCCTCGTTTCGTCTATACATGGCCACAGACTACTGAAACACTGGCTTTCCATGAGCTTCAAACTGAAACTACTGGCAGGAGCATTAACTGATTAGATGTCTAGTAAAGAAATTAAGACAAAATTTCTTTTTAACTCCTAACTTAATAAGAACCAAAATGCAAAGCCTGTGATACAATGTAAATCCTGGAAAATGGTTTACTTGCATGAAGGTTATAATTTACTACTGAAAAAACAGTGCCACAACATCATCAGCTGCCACAGTAAAAAGCAAAACTGCCATCCATTCCACAGCAAGAATGCCGTACAAAACAAATTATTTTACTGAAAACTGCTCTGTCCTCTGACTACGCAAATCACAAAGAACACTAACACTCATAGTTTATATAAATAATTGTTTATAGCCTTTATGCAAAAATTATTACGTTCTGAAAATAGTTAGCTGTAAAAGAAAAAAACTTTTGTACACACCCTTCTCAGTACAGAAGAATTAACACGAGTTTGTAATGCCTTAAACCTAAAAAACTATTTTATCATACCTCAGATGCATTACAGTGTACAATATTCCCTTCCAATGCAGAATGTCGATATCTGCCAACACAGAACAACTTTATTTGCAACTCAAGAAAATACAAAATATATAAAAATGCTGCTATCCACAAAATTAACTAGATCTTACCATCACCTACACCCCTGTAGTCCATGTCAATTGTGACATCTTTATGGATCCAAACTAATAGCTTTACAGTCAATGAAAAATAGTCCACTGATTTCAATGTATTTTTGATTACATCCTAGATTAGGGTCTAGCAGTGTTCTCACTTACTCCATTTGATTCTGGCTGATGGGCATTGGACAGTTGTAATGGTAGAATTTGATCCATTCTACCAAATAAAATACTTCAGATTCATAGCTTTATTTCATTAAGTTGTTCAATAGAAAAAATAAGTTTAAATGTAACCATGTCTGTATTTCAATGGACATAAACATTTAAACATTGACATTACTTTTACTATTTTACTGGCTTCAGTATTTCTTTTCAAATACACTCACAACCACAATCAGCAGTTAAACAGAAACAATTAGGAGATACTTTCAATAAATGCCCAAACCACTCAGTCAAACATCAGCAAATTAGTACGTAAGGGAGAAAATTGTTTCTTCGGGCTGGGGTTGCATTTTCAGTAATAAATGTTCACCGATATGAAAGAAAGAACATAGAACTCTGGAGTAAGAGCAAGAGCCAACAGCTTTGTTATCTCTTATATATTTATGGCACAAGTATCGATCACCATTGGAGATAAGTATTTATTGCTTGAAATATCAATACTCAACCTCCTATGTGCTTATAACAAGAAAAGCCTCTGAAGATATGCTAATTTTAGCCTGCAGTTTTGTTTGTTCACCTCTTTGCTATTCTATACGTTCAACTCCCATCTTTCCATGTTATAGTAAGTTCTGCTTTCATTTAGAATTTCTGCCAACATAACTAAATTAAAGTATTATTTACAAAACATGTTTTAGCAATAAGAAGAAAGTGAAGGTAAATGAATATCCATAAGAAAAAGAAACCCTTAACATGAAATCAAAAGAGGTATGCCAGGTATTTCCTTATTGTATATTGTGTCCAGCCCATTTCTTGAAAAAGATATGCAATGCATAGATTTTATAAAATAATATCATATTACCTTTTTCACACAGCTCCCAATTTATCAATATCATTTCTGACATAAAAATTTAAGCTGTAAGTGTTGCTTGTAACCAGTTCACATTTAAATAAGTCTTTAGCTTATAATGAAATCACATTAGAAGCCTTGAACACAACTTTCATAATTAGACAAAGCCACCTGCATAAAATATATTTAACATTTCTTATAAATAGATGTAGTAGAAAGAGGAAAACATTTTCATATATGTCACTGATTATGTAGTAGGATGACTCACACCCATATAGCTCACAAAGCCAGTACACAAATTAATTTTCATACAACAAAACCTATGGTAATTTAGCCTGGTAGAAAGTTGCACTGAGTACTGTTTGTATTGGGACAAGGTTTGACAATCCCAGGAAATATGGAAAGTAACATTAGAGATGTGTATGCTCCTTACTCTCTATGTAGCAGAAAGACTCACAATAGTTGACAATTTGTCAGATAGAATCGAAGTACTGACTCTTTTGCTTGAATAATAGAAAACAACCAAACCTGCACACGTTTTTGCAGGTGAAATGTAACCATAATTTACAGCCATCTTGTTTTAGCTGCATTGTGTTTTGGGGAAAGAAAACAGATATTTTTTTGGACACAAGACTTCTTACAACAACCTCTCTCAACTTTCTCTTATTCAATAAGGAAAGGTTCTCTTTTCATCTATTTCTCTTTTCATGCTGAGGATATAATAGTTGATGACCAGTGTTTTAATATGCCAGATATTAGCAGTTTTAATTCTATTCAACTGGCCTTTTACCCACTCCAAGAAAAAATTTTAAAAGCCTTTCACCACCTCCTATCAATAACAAACAACAGTTAATAAAAATCAGCAAACCAGAATTAATAAAACAAAACCATAACGTTGTCAAAAGTTTAGTCAATGGGTTCAGTAGCCCATTATCTAAATCTGTGATCACAGGAAAGTTCACACTAGGGAAATACAATGCTTGCAACAGAAATTAAAAGAATATCAGGGGAATAAAACAAATGCTTCAGCCAAACAAGTCCTACTATTTTTTGTTACAGTGATATTTTTTTTCATTAAATTATATTGCTTTGCATACAGAAATAAAGCATTCTATACTTTTTTCCTCCTCCCCAAAATTATTAAAATAAAGAATCTTCAAGTGAAGTGAGGATAAGAAAAGACACCAACGATTTTGAACTATGATAAGCTAATTATTTGATACCTTGCTCTATACTTCCACTTCTTACTGGAACTTGCGGAAGCTGTCTTCCCCTACGGCTGCTGAAGGATGAGTCTGCAGGAGGTGACTGTGTAGGACTTCCTTGTTGGTGTGTTCTGCAGATGGAATGAAGATACAGTGAAATAACACAAATGAAATCTGATTCAATACATTTTGATCTCTAAAGGTGAATGCCTATACTAATATACCTGTAGGAAGATGGATTTGAAGAAACTTACAGTCCAACTCATGGTCATCTTTAGTGTTGCTAAATTTAGTTTCAATTCTGGAAAAATATCTTAAACTTCCAAATTTTTCATTATTTATAGACAAATAACTAGATAAAAAGCCTCCACTAGTACACTAACAGCAAACAGGTATTCTCAGGTCCTGATTCACTACTGTTCTTGCACTTTATGTAGTCATTTCCAAGGGTGCAAAGTGGCCATAAAATGCTACCATTCCAGTACAGCAAAGTTTTTATATTGCTGCAAGGCAAAAATAGATGCCAGTTATAATTGCCAACTGTTATAAAGGTGATGCATCTTTTCTGACTTATTTTTTTGTTGAAATGTAATTGTTCTTTATTGATATTACTATGATTTTTAGTATGTGTTTACATCTAGTAATTGGTACAAATTCTTACAATAGTGTATCAGAATCAGTGCTCTTACCCAAGTAGATATTTTAAACTCATTTGGTCTGTATGGGTGGATGAACCCTGAAAGCCCAATTTCTAAACAGTTTGACTTCTGACAGATGCTTTAAGAATCTGAAATCAATGCTGTACATATCAGTGGAATATAGGTAAATTACATTTGAATATAGGTAAATTACAAATTACTAGGACCATTTCTAGTAACAAAGAACAACAGATCTATACAACAATAAACTGATAGAGTTTAACGTTAAACTTTGTTGCAAAGTCCAGTACTGTCATGGTACTGGTACTATCATGTACTAAATATGTTGTAATTATATGATAAATTAAAGTTGCAAGTACCTAATTTCTCAAATGTTACTATTTTAAGCAAAGCATCAAGTTAAAAATTAGGAGTGAACTTTAGCATTGCTTAGGCCATCGTCATTTTCTTATTCTATTGCTATAAAACAAGAGTGAAATATGTGAAAAGTGCGTACTATTTATCTTTTATGCAAATATTTTGAAAGTTTTCATGTGAATACATAACAAAATGAAACAATGGAAGGACAAAACAGTTGTTTTTTAACTTTCATGTTGCAGAAGTGTATAAATTTCAACAGTAAAAAAATACTGTTTGGACAGTGAAGATAGACAGAATAGAGGATATGGGAAAAGTATAAATATCATGAAAAAGGATTCCACTACTGTGCCAGAATGAGTGAGTGAATGCACTGTATATGCTCAGGAAAGTACAACACCACACTGACATCTGGGAGGCAGAACATGAATGTTGTGCTGTACACTTAATAGCAACCTTGTCAGAAGTGGAGAAGGTGGCGCCGACCCTCCTGGAGCTAGATGATGTATAGAGCATAATGGTCTGATACTAGAATGCTCACTCGACCTTGACCGAGTGTGATGTTTTCCCCTAATGACTGGCTGTTCAGGTGTTCTTGGGGTTGGAAGTCCCCTTCTAGAAAGACATGGTAGAAGACCCCTAAAACATTAGGGCCAAAAAGAAACTGTTCAGTCATTAGCTCTACAAAATTTTTCCCCGTGCCTCCCTCCAACAAAGAAAGGAACTGACCCTGCTTGAGAGAACAAATATTTACATTTTCAGACTCTGAAAAAATGATTCAGCTACAAATGTGCATTCAAAATGATAAAGTGCAAAAGCCTCAATTGGAAACACACATGCTTCCTTCACTTAAAAGAGATGAACTATATAGAATTTAACAGCAGCTTGGCCAAACAAAAGAATTAACTTAATCTTTTATTGATTTAACCCTAACTAAGGCCATGTACAGATATTCCATCTACTGGAAAAATCCCTGTTCTTCTGGTAGAAAACAAAAGTGTGCTGATGAGCAAAAATGGAGGCTTGGGAGAAAAATAGCCCAGGAACAACCAGGGTTAAATTGCTCCCAGGCGAGTTTCTGGAGACTGAACATCTGCACACGTTCTCCTGGCTTAACTTCTCCCAGTGAGCAGAAGTGGAGCTTAGGAAAAGACTCCTATGCCTTCCTGAGACTGTGGTTCCTCCAGTCTGAAGAAGGCATGAGACACAGCTGCTCCCCCTCTTTCACCATCAGAGTTCCCAGTGTGAGAAGCAGGGAAGTGCTTTGCCAGGCGACGAGCTGAACGCAGAAGTATACCTCCCACCCACTGCCTGCTTCCCCTTGCCCTGTCTCCCCCACATTCAGCTGACTGGCCCAGGTAGTGAGCTGGGTTTGCAAGCCCAGCTTGGCCCCATTGGTTTCCTTTGCCTCCCCACACTGCTTAGCAGAATAGGAGGAATGGTGACTGAAAAGCCTTCAGCATCTGGGCTTGCAGTCTGGTTCTCGGCCACAACAGTTTCTCCTCATGTCTCCCCACAGGGGTGGTGATTTAAAAGCTGGAGGGGCCAGGATCCAGGATTGGGGAAAGCCTCCACGCACCTGGCTCCAAGTCTCTCCAGCTTTCCCTTGTCCCCCATTACTCAGCTAAGTCTCAGGGGCAGCAATTTAAAAGCTGGAGGGGCTGGGGGAGATGGGTGTGTGAAGGCTTTCCCCAAGCCCAGCTCCCAGTCCCACTGGCCTCCCTTGCCACCCAGCTGAGATGGGGTAGAGCAGGACAAGGCAGGCTGCCATGTCCCTGTGGAAAGCTCCTGGAGCTCTGCTGTGAAGGCTGAGTGCTCCCCCCCCTTCCTCCAACAGACAAATACTCCTTTGGATCAGCCCAGAAGAGTGCAAGCAGCAGGGTTATTCTACAGGGGAGACCTGGGAGGGTTCCCACCCCAGGAGAGTGCCCCCTCCGGCCAATCAGCTGAGTTCCTAGTGCAAATTTGACATGGGCTTTGCCACCCCAGAAGCCAAGCATACCCCCAACCCTGCTTTCCCTTATCTTGCCCTCCTCCATTCAGGTAAGAGGCAGGGATGGTGAGCTGGGCTTACAAGCCCTTGCTCTTGGCCATTCTAGCTTCCCTTGGCAGAATAGGGGGAATTTTATCAGGACAGGAACTATCCCCAGCTGTCTCCAGTAGCTGATGCTTTTCAGCAGCTGCCAAATACTACTTGAGGGCCTGTCCCCTTCATAGGCAAGGGAGAAGGCAGGCTGTCAAATAATGGGCTCCCCTAAGGGCAGGGGAGGCCCAGAGAGAAGACCTCTAGGGCCCCCTGGCTGAAGAGCTTGACTGTGAAGCTCTCCAGCCCAGGGGCTAGAGAAACATCTGTACAGTCCAATTTCCAGGGTATTTTTCTACTGGAAGAAAAATCTTCCAGTAGAAATGAACATCTGCACATAGCCTAGATATACTTCAGGAAAAATGCTTTAATAAAGTAAAGTACTGCCATGAAGTATATAATTAATGCCTTTTTTAACCTTAAGATACATGCTTTGAATGGACACATTTTAATTGCTACTAAAATATTAATTTGATGACAGCTAATGGCAGCAAGGTACTTAAACCCCTGCATAATCCCACTGGCCTCCCAGTGTGTTAAAATTAGGCATCTGTTTAAGTATCCTGCT